TTACTTCAGTGAGCTTGCTTGTGTTAAGTTGTACTTCAGGCTCTGCTCTCAGCTTCCAACCTCTGGCAAGTTCGGCCTCCGTTTCAGACTGCAGCCCTACCTCGTTATGGCTCTTGGCTTGTTGAGTGTGCAGCTCTTTTTGAAGCCTCGATTTGTTCACCTTGCTTGTGGCTAGCTATGCTTGTAGTGCTACAATGGTGTTGCTGCATTTGCAGTTTTGCAGCTTGCTCCTGCAGCTTGCTCCTGCAGCTTGCTCCTGCAGCTCTGGTGACTTGTGTTTGAAGGTGCAGACCGTTGTTCGGGGATAGCATCCCGTGGTGGGTGCCAAATTTTTCTTATCTGCTTGCGCACAGTGTTCATGAACCGTGTTCCTCCCGTTCTGTGGCCGTTGGATGCTAGAGAGTGTGCACAGTAACCGCGGAAGAAGTGCCTTTCTTGAGGGCTTCACCCTCCAAAAGACGAGGACGGATGGCACAGCCGTGTCCCCCTGAAGCTGCCGGCCACTTGCCAGACCTTTCCAGAAATCAGCTTCCACAACATGCTCAGAGCATGCTTTAGTTGCTTTGGATACTCTGAAATATGCTCTTTCATCCCTCTTGACGACTGCAATACATCTCTTTTAGGACACAGCTCTTAGGCGCCCATTTCCGGCTTGAGCGGCGTCGCCGTCGCCGTAATTGCGCGGTGCATGATTTATTTATTTGATTTATTTGCACTGCACGGGACCCTCGTGACGTGATTCGTGAGGTCACGTGTGACGTCACGAGGGTCCCGTGCGGTGCATAATGGGACATTTCCCATGATGCAACACGCGGGGGGAGGAGGAGGAGGGGAGGAGGGGAGGAGGAGCTTGAAGGATGAGGGGAGGGGAGGAGTAGCAGGGAGGATGAGGGGGTAATGGGGAGGGAGGAGGGGTATACCCTCCCCTCAGTACCCTCCCCTCCTCCTTCTCATGAGCTGAGCTCTAATGCGGTGTTACAGGGGGTTGTAAATGTCTTTCATTTGTGTGAAGTTGGTGTTACAGTCGGGAACTTGTGATAGGAAATCTGCAAATGAAGTACCAAGGTGAGCATGTGCATTTGTTACTTTTCACCTGCGTCACATTAACACCGTGAATTGCAGGCTGTGCACCAGTGAACACTACAGGGATATCCATAATAATAGAACTGTATAAAAATGCAGGCGCCTAATGGAGTTTACATTCCACGTGACGATCCTAACGTAGTTCGCACAGCGGCTCACTGTTACCATTCCTGAAGGTCACACGCAAGTTTGACAGCAGTCGCTGAATGACACACCAAATGCACTGACATGGTCAGGTCGTCACGCTCTGCGTGCTGCGCCCGACACAAACACAAACTGTAACAAAAGCAACTCAGCGACACGCGAAGCTCATAAAAATGTCTGTACACATTGACAGAACTACGGTAAAATCACTACCTGTGTGGTTGGCGTGCTGAACGGCCGCCTTGTAGCAACACACTAAGGGCACCTTTTTTACGGAAGAAAAACAAAAAAACTGAAAGTACCAAGAAACTGACCAAGCGACGTGCATAGCTTAAAAGATTGTTTAAATAAGTCGCATGACTAAACATTCAAACAATGTGACACATACAAACCTTTTGTCCGGAACTTGTTCACGTATCCGTACCGCTTACAGAGCTGTACGCAGCAGTGGGTAGGCATCTTGTTTCACATTCCCAAAACTGTGTAAGCAGCTTGGAAAAAAAGAGCAAACAATTTAAGTTTGTCAATTTAAACGCAGCTGGATAGTACAGCAGTGGAGCGCTTCCTTTCTAGTGATGTCGGATTCAGATTTGAATTTACTGGTGTCCCCTTTGTATTGGGTGGCCACTTGCCAGTAGTTCTGGTGAGGGCCTGCCAAAACGCAGCTTGGCTGGGCTCATTAAGTGCCAACACTAGCCGGGTTTCTCTTCGTCTCCTTCGTTCTCAGGTGGGTGTCTGCAGGTTTGGGCCCGTCTGCCTTTGACTCTCCCAGCTTCACCAGGAACACTCCCACCACTGCTCTAGCAGACATCAAACAATGACATTAACAGGTCGTCGGTCACTCTCCTAAGTTTCTTTGTTTCAGAGCTTTGTGGAAAAACCTGGACGCAGCAGTCAGGCCTTCATAAGCGACTCCCTCCTCCGTCCAACCCACTGTTACCCGTGACCAAGATGGACCTGAAATATCGGGGAATTTCATTTTTATTAAACTTTAATAGACTGACTGAAATTTGAAACTCTAACCATTTTCCTAACCAGACAGATTTCTGTCAAAGATGTTTACGTAGCAATAGTAACTGATGACAGCTTTTCGGTTCTAAGAAAAAAACAGGAAAATTTTTCGATTGCTTGTTCATATTAACAGCGCACTGCTCTGTTCAGTGCTTATCAGCTGGGCCTCTTTTCAGAAATAGGTTGTCCTCATGGTTTTCACTGATCGCTCAGCAAAATGCAGAGAAGCTCAAGTTTAAAACGACAATGAAAGGATAGACAAAAACAATACCATCACAAACCTTAGATTAAAAAATGCCTGTTGCCTGCAAACATTTTGTCAGAAAATGAGGAGCTTGGCATAGGTTAAATTTTCCTAGCTCTGTGAACAGAAAAAAAATACTTGTTAGGCGAGCGAATGCGTCGGTCGCACCCCTTTGCAACTGCAGGATTTCTTCTAGTGCTGCACGGATGTGGTGCTGTGCAGCCAGCAGCTGAAGCTAAGCAGCCAGCTGCTGCTGCTGTGTGGCCAGCAGGTCCCTGGCCATGCATGCTTGCCCAGGCCGTGGTCGTACGGAACGAGGAGGCAGGGTGCATGGCAGCTGGTGTACTGCCAACACAAAGCACATTTTCATGTGATTCAAGATATGTAATTTTGTGTTTCCTCATACCATCTTGTTGCGGTGAACCTGCCACCTCCACAGGCAATGCTGCATCTGGCGCGTCCTTGGCCTCGCTGTCTTCTGCTGCTTCTGCTGGGGAGTCCGGTATATTTGGTTAAACTGGTGTTATCATGTTGTCAATGCTCTTGGTTTTAGCCCATGTCTTTGCACTAGTTTTTTTTTTTTTAAAGATTGAACGAGCAACTGACCTGATCGTCAATGTTTATCGAGTCAGAAAAACATTACATCAACTGGTGTGTTTTTCCACAGTAATGAGTCGATGTTCTGTTCAGTATATCCAGTCATTACTGTACAGTTGTCAGGATGAACTGTGGCATTTCTGACAGCCCTAACAACACATGCTGCATTTTCTGTTCACAATTCCCACACCACGAGGTCAGACACTGGTGCCTCAGCTACACCTGCGATTCCAAGTACTTAGCGTGGCTGCAGCCGATGGGCCAGGCTGTGGCGTTGGGCGAGGTGCCACCGGTGCCAGGCGCCTTCCCCCACGGCCTCGGGAGGAATCCGTCCCCACAAGGGACAATATTCTTTCCTCTTCGGCGTTTAACGGAGGGACGGGGTTGGCACCCCCACTGCTGCGCGCACACGTGCATTCCAGGACTCCTTCCATTCGGCCTGGCTTTTAACAGATGGGCCCTCGACATTTAGCTCTTGGACAGTGATGTGCCACAGGGCAGTTCGGTCTTCCTCAGATAGTGGACTATCTGTGGTGGCCCTCACAAGGACTGGTTTCGCCAACAGATAGTAGAGGAGTAGGGCGAACTGCCTCACAGAGACACGGGCCCTGAGCCTTTTCTTAGCGGCGTTGTCGGCGATGGCCGTGGTTCTGAGTCTGAACCTCTGAAGCGTAGTCAGAGACTTTAAACTACCAAATGCTGGGGTCGATTAAAAACCGCGAGGTCTTGTCAAAAACAAACTCCGGAATCCAGATTTTCCAACGTTGTCAAGACCCCGATCTTCACAAACGGCTGCAATCCATGGGAAAAGTTACCATTGTCAGTCAAGTTAAATACATAATTGGTGGATGCAGAATTCAGCTTATGTTATTCTATTTCAATTGAAACAGGTACAATGTGTTTCCAACTTAAAAATAATATTTTTTACAATTCCCTTCACTGCAGTGTTTCAAAGTTCCCTCTAAGGACAGTTTTTGAAAGAATTCTCAATGAAGTTTCAACTTAATTGTTTCTGTTGACCGACGTCATGATAAGGTTGGCTCTCCAGTGGAGTTTAGCGGTGATGAAGTTGAGGCTTCTTCCACCGGCGACGTCGCAATGAAGTTTCTGCATCGCTTTTTTCAGCATACACAGACAACCCTCCACTCATTGAATTTTTCTTACGGTGTATTGAAGATATTTTTTCTCTGTACATGAAAGTGATGCTCTATTCCGTATGCTCTTCCGTATGCACAAAGTTGTTGGGACTGATAAAACTGGTGCCTTCTTGAGAACTACGACTTTGTCAGAAAGTCACTTTCTGATTTGATCTACTAGCGTGGTAATAAATCTTGAGCACCTTTCTCGCATCGAGAGAGGACCCGTTGGTCTTCATGTTGTCAATGTACACTCTCCGGCAATATGAAAGACCCACTGGGAGCGCGTGGCCGAGGCGGTGGCTGGCGGGGGCGCTGCGAGCCCTCCGGGCATTTCCATTCTGCTTCGAGGGGAGGACGCTCACTCGGGCTCAGATAAAGCGAAACGCGCTTATGAGTTTGTGCCGAGTGCCGAATGAGCGTCCTCCCCTCGAAGCAGAATGGAACTGCCCGGAGCGCTCGCAGCGCCCCCACCAGCCAGCGCCTCGGCCACGCGCTCCCAGTGGGTCTTTCATAACGCCGGAGACTGTACGTCTCACACAGGTAGCCCAGAAATAGGGTCTAAGTGGTCCTCAAGTCTGGACGTCAGAACATCCATCTGTCCTGTCAGAATGACAACTTTTTGAACCAAGCTTGAAAGCAAAGTCGAGGTCTTTTAGCAGCTTTGTTTTAGTCGCATCTTTCGCCTCGAATTTCTTGCCTTTTTCAAAGGATTCACATCTTTTACCTTTTTCGCAAAACATTAATCACTGCTAATATCTTTCAACTCCTTTTTGGCATTACAGAACCTACAGGTTTGTCACCTACTGGAAGTTTGTCTGGTGGGTGTGGAAGAGATTGGGGAGATTCAACAGGGTGCAACTTGCGTGCTGCGTGGTGGCGAAGATAAGGAAGCACTTCCCTTCAGCAACATAGTCTTCCAGTACTCCTATTGCCAGAACCTTGAGACGTGGGCTCTGATGGTGGCTTTTTTGTCTGGCCTATTAGCTGCGCTGCACAAGGAGGAAATAAGGGCCGTTGCAACGCAGTGGAACCTAGCTGCTGCTGGCCAAGTTTTCACTTACCAGAGGAGGGTGGCTCTGTCACTGAATGAACAGACCGCCCTTAGTTGCCTTAGGAAACCTTAGGCTGTACCGAAGCTCCTTGTCCCTGGTTCTTGCTTGCTTCCAGACGGCGCATTGGCATTATAATGCCTAATAGCCACGCAGGTTCTGATATGTGCTCAGATATGAGACATAATCAGAGTTTGCCATCATACCAGTGAGCTTTGCAACTTACTGTGCAATCATACCATTATAGCTGAAAAGCAAAGACTTCGGAGTGATGTGGATAAGCATGCTGTGAAATGCTTCAAGGTTGTAGGTCTGGCTCCCATTAGAGAGTCTCAAGATGTCCCTGAGAATGTGGTGGGCCATCACAATTTTGTGAAAAGCCACATATGGTTCCGTCAGTGACAAAATTGAAATCGGACATTTGTATTGAAATACGGTCTGAGTATAGGAAGGATTGTGTGAAAGCCACTAATGGTTCCATCCCTGATGAAATTGAAATCAGATATTTGTAGAAGGATATGGTCTCAATATAGGAAAGATTGCGGTGCCCATTTGAGGAAGTAGTGCAGAAATCTTAGTTTTTATTTTCTTTTATCTTCATTACAGTATGACTAATGCCATCATTACAACTAAGCTAGAACTTGTGTGCAATGTGTAGCTTTTAAATCAACCAACACTTTTCCTTAGTACAATGAACTACATTGTAGTTCTAGGTTAGATTTTGAATGTCATTGTAACGGACCCCAATCTAGCACAATATTTCAGCAAATGGCTCAAGCGTTGCACATGTAAATTAATATTTGCATCACAAAGAGGAGACCTCCAATGCAATTTTACACTTGAATTTGATGCAGACGTGCGAGGTAAACTTGCCTTCTAGCAGTCACCACCTGCGGGTCATGTCCCCATGAGAACATGCGGGGCATGGGGGCTTTTGTGGAGGCGGACATTTGACACATGTCACGCCGGGAAGTCCACTTTGCGAGCACCACTTATTGGGGCGCACCAGTACACATGTGTTCGGATAGACTTGATCCACGAGAGGAGTACCTAAGGGTCCTTCCCCTTGCGTTTTATGGTCACCTTGCTTTGACGCCTGAAAAAAATATGTATATCCATAGGGTTTCCAAATTTAAGATTATGGCTGGCTGCTCAGGCAAAAATACACAAAATGATTAACATTTAGCTAGCCTTAGTGTTTGTGGTCTCCTTGTTTTAATGGTCAGTGCTTCAACAGAACTACTGCTCCTGAAACACATGTTGTGGTATTAAAACGCCAGTTATATCCCTTCATGAGAATGCATCCTTATCTTTTGCATGATGCCATGCGTCAAAGCTGTGCATTGTGTTGGGGTAGTCGGACTTTATCATTGCGTTGACGCCAATGTGCCTGTCCGTCACAATTGTTGCAGCGGTGAGCCCCTGGCACAGCAGGCTTTCTAGACTGCGATTTAGGCCATTTTTCTCTATGTGGGAGTTCGACCTGACTTCGGTTGACTGAAATGCAGATGAAATGGATACAAGTAGATTAATATCCTCAGGGTGCTTAGTTTCAGAACAAAGCTTGTTTTGCTTCTAGCCTTTCTAGAATAGCATGATCCTCAAGTCCAGAAATTATGATCAGCTTAACAGCATATAGTTTGTCTCGGAGAATGCTGTATTTATTGCATAGAATCACCACCTACCTCACATGCATGAAATGTTTAGACACACTGTCCAACATTTACCGTAATACCCCGAATCATCGCCCACCCCCCTGCCACGTGAAATTCATAATAAAAGTGGGGTGGGCCTTGTTTCGGTGGGTAAGCAGAAAAAGTTTTGAGAAGGCTGAACAAATGCCCACTTTTCTATACATATCTAGCACGGCTGCACAAGAGATACGTTACACTCAAAACTTAAATAGCTGTCTCTAATGTTGTCTTCATGAAGTCCTTCAAGCAGTGCAGCATATTGTTCAGGATCTCATCCTTAAATGGCCAGATGATTGTGCATTTTAAGATGACAGCTGATGCCATTATTGTCTCTTCTATCGTTGTTCTGCATGTTGTCGGAGATTCTAAACACGTGACTGGGTAGGTCGAAAGTTAGGGTGTGCTTTAGAACCATCATTGCAAGCACAATTTGATTCTTCCAACATAAAATGTGGGCTCCTGTTTAAGGCATCTTTTCGTCGAGCACTTGTTGCAAGCTATTTGAAACCTTCTTACTGTGAACACTTGGGATAGAAGATTGTTGAAATCATCTAGCAAGCATGAGAAATGAAACCCAAAGTGTATAGAATCACTTGGACCGCCTTGAATTTAAAGGCCAGAGCAGCGCGCAAGCAGACCAAGGCTTCGGTAGCATTCAGTTTGTTCCCGGTGATAAGCTTGATGTTTTCGCTGCTCCCAGTAGGAGTGTCATGGTTTCCTTCCTAATTGCTCAAGAAGTACTCCTAGAGAACAAAGTTTGTTTGCAGCTTTAGTATGTGGTTACGGCTCAAACATGCCTAGGTAGCTTGATGAGATATAGAGAGGCTTGTCTCGATCCACGATTAATAGTCGCTGTGCTGCGCCTGGAGACATAAGAAAAGCACCTTGATAACTTCATCGGTCCTACTCTTTGACAAATATTTTTTGAATAGATATGCCGAGCACCACAGGATTACAGATGAGGATAATAACAAGTTGTGGGTTAGCTTTTCAGGTCAGTGCTTCATAGTTAGCAGTTTGACTCCTGTGATAGCACCTAAATGAGGAAACTACACTCTCCTCTATGGTTGCTCACAAAAGGACTTCCACAAATAAAACTGATCTCCTGCTTTACAAAATGCCTTTCTTTTTATTATGTGCGCTATTTCAATACATACCTTTAGTCAGAAGGATGTTGTCCAGGAAAAAGCACAAATTTACTCATTTTTATTTCGGGCATAATTCTTTCTTTCTGAATGTTGAGATTTTCGTTAAGCTAAGTATGTTATTTTACTAAAAAGAATGGTTTGCAAAGAATTCTTATCAGCTTAATAAAATATACACATATTCTCGTGGCTTTGCTAGCACAGCTAGGGCTATGCACTGAGGCATGCCATGCTCGCTTGGCTCTGTTGTCGCTCTCGTCGCTCCTTCTGCAGCTGCAGGCGTCTAGCCTCCTTCCTTTGGTTGTGTGTGGAGGACAAGGGCAGATTTTCACTTGGCACTGTCTTCTTCGCTAGGAAGTATATTGATCTCGCGACATCTAGATTAAAATAAGAGAAAGCCAGCAAACACACACACAAGAGCAATGGTCAATTGACCTCCACTCGCAATGAAGGTAAACACAGGGACACACTTAGCTGAAATGCAGCATTGGCGCTCTCTTAGGTTTTATCCGGACACGTGAGCGTCCAACAACAAAAATACTTGTGTAGTCGAACACTGTTCACATGCTGTTCCAGGAAAAGGCTTCAAAGCACCGACCGAGCATTGCGGAGTCTCCCGCTGTGCAGTACTTAATGAAATTGCCCGTTCTAAGGCCTCTTCACGAACGACCAACCAGCCTAGATGCTGTTAAAAAAAGCGGCGATCATTTTTATATTTTCTTTTGTGCTTACCTGAAAAGAAGTACTGTCTCTTTCAGAAGTCCTTGGAGCAAGCCGCCATGTTCCTTGTTACGGCTTTTCCAACCTGCAAAACGCGAACCCATTCTCGACGTCAATCGGTTCTATCAGTCTTGGTTCTTTCGTGCTACACTGTTGCAGAGTGGAACACAAAAATTCCTATTTGAACGCACTGGCTTTTTCTGTTCAAACTGCATGATGTACAAAGGCGAGAACCAAGTTACAACACCAACACCGCGCCCAACAGTCCCTGCTCCTCTCGTTCTTCATTCGTCCGCGTGAGGGCGAGCTGCGGGCTGGAGTTGCAAATACCCGGGAGCACGGGCACACATGGACACATGCATGTTTAACGTATTGATATTACGTATTGGACGCGCATGTTTAATGTATCTATATTCACTTTGTGATGACGATTCCCTGCACTTTAACCATTCTGGCTAAACTTTGACTGCTTTACATATCCTAATGCACTGCAGGTACTTAAAGGGCAACTCCAGCCAAAACTCAAAATGAAATAAATTACTGATATCGCTGTAGTGACACAAAATACGACCCCAACCCAAATATTATGTCCGTGGGACGCCACATTCTCAACTAATGCCGATAACAAAAATGCGACCCGCCGCGAGCCTCTGCTCCTTAGCGGGCGGCCAGCGGGTTGCCGATCGCTGAAGCAACATTGGGCCGGGATGTCAGTATCATTCTCTTTTTTCCTCCAGTCCAAGCGTTGCGTTGGGTGCGCTTCTTTGAGCCTCTACCACCGCTTCTTCGACTTGTGATTGGCGTGTTTTGCCGTTGCTTTTATCTGTAGCCCGTGTAGCTTCGGTATAACCTATTGTTTATGTGCTTGTGAGGACTCTAAGACTCGTTTTAGCGAGCAACTCGGAGCGCCCAAGACTGCCCAGCTGTTCCTCGAAAGACGCCGAGTGCAATGTGTAGCGCTGTGGGCTGCTCAAACAACTTGCTGCGCAACACGGAGGTGCGTTTTCACAAGTTTCCAAAGGACCGTAAATTGGACGTGTGGGTGAACACTGTTCGACAAGTGGACTTTGGACTTCGGCTTTTACGCGCCCGAGGAAAAAAAGAACAAAAAACAGACGTGCACAGCCCAGCTCACGTGTGTTCGGGCGCCGCAGCCCGCGCCGGAGAGCCTTAAAGCTTCGTGTCTGGAACTGACCCGCAGCGCGAAAGCGAGAGGGCCCCCAGTACTGTACGTCACTGGCAGCGCGGCATAGAGCAACGCCGCTCTAGCCACGGAGCCCCGATGAAAATTTAGGCCTAGCGACGAGTAAGGAAGACCGCACACACGGCGGCAGCCACCGGGTACGGCACCGAACGAGTTCACTCGTTTTTCAGTCGCTAGCTTTTGTGTATACAAGCGACGAGTACGCCATAGCGCACGCACGGCGGCGGCCGCCGAGTACGGCACCGTACGAGTTCGCGGGTTTTCCAGTCGCCTGCTTTTGGGTATACGCACTAACTCTTGCTACATATGCTGGATAACTACCACGTATACCAAATTAGAACAAAATCAGCTTACCTCCTATCTTTGGACGGCTAGCGCAACTGAGATAGGTGCCGCTCAGCCTGCGCACTCGTTGAATGAGAACGATCCTGACGTCACGTTCACATAGCGGCTGATTTCCAGTGTTGCCGGAGCCTCGACCGGCTAGTTTTGGTTTTGTTGGCCGTGCCCCAAACAAAACTTTGAGACGTTGATATCTTTAAAACTACGTACAATAACGAGGAAAAAATTATGCCTTGCAATGCGCGGACGCTGACTGCACCAGAAACAGTCATAATCCCAAAATCGAAAGTATGAACCGGAGTTGCCCTTTAAATAAAAAACAACGAGCATGTTTTCCTTGTATTTTTGAATCCC